CAAGCAGAATCCCAGCAAGTGGCCCATGCCCCTCGTCAGTGACCCTGCAGCACTCCTTCAACTAAGCAGCTGCTAAATCTTTGGACAGGTTAAACAAAAAGACAAAAAAAGGTGAAAAAACCCAGACAGACTCACTTCCATATTTAATTTCCTGTAACTCCGTGCAAGAACACAGACCCCTCTTCCACGCCGACACATACAACGTTGGCTTGACCCTTGTCTCAGGTCCCCCTGAACAAAGTTTCTCTCTCATCACTTTGGCATCAGTCCAAAGCTTTATGTCTGTATAAGACGCATTTGCTGGTATTTTTTCAGTAATACATAGCACCATCAAATGCTAGGCATAACATACACTCCCTGAGGATGGCTTCTTCTCAGGGCTGCACTGCATAAGCCAAGGACTAACGCTGCCACAGATGAGTTTGGTACCTGCACAGCTGCACACTTCCAAGCTGCAGAGCTGCTTGCCATAACCACCCCGTAATCCAAGGTACCATGGGAAAGCAGTGCTCAGAAATGAGTTATTATCTGAACTGCAAACTCTTTTATCGCTTTTCCTGCCCAGTCAACACATGATAAGAACGATAGTGCAACAATATTTATTGCAGGCTTATCCCCAAGATGGGAACCAAACACTGCAGAGAGCTGCTGTAGGAAAGCTACCCCATTGCAAAGCACTTATCAGTCTGAACCTATAAGATGACAACTTCTAAAATGACTATCAGTCTACTGCATTCATAGTACAAAATTAAAAAAGCAGGTCCAATACTAACCCCTTCTATTATAAAAATGGCTTAATTTGAAGGGAGAAGGAAAGAATTCTTATGCTATTTTCCCACTACAACCAGGCAAGTTTTCTTCTTTTACAGAATGATCTCTAAGCTCTCATTACTGCTGGTTTAAAACATTTATTTCTGCCTACTCAAATCTGCCAAAAAAGAAATGAATCATATGTCAATAAAACTTGGGGTCCTGGACATGTGTTTCAGAATTAGTCTTTACAGAGAAATGTGCGAATCTGAGCACAGCTACAGCAAGGACTGCCAACTTCATTCATGGTAATTAAGCAATGCCACACACATTTCAGGGGATATTTAAGGAGTGCAGAATGTTCCTATGGGGACTGGACTGACGAACTATTCCAGCAGTAGCAATTGCGCTTTAGAAATACGTTAATTATCCTGGAAGAAAAAGCCTTCGAGAACTACCAGGAATAAAGAAGTTGGCAATACCTGCACTGACATTTTCTGCAAGAAAATGAGTCCTTCTGCCAATTTGCTGGCTCTGATTCGACACTGTATGGCAGCTCACCTGGGCCTCCGTTTTGGACTCAATCTAAGCGTGAATGCACAATCCAAACCAAAAAAGCATTTAAGCTAAGCATTAAGTATTTGCTTGAACCGACTCCTCAAGGCTGAGGAGATGGTATACTGCTCACCCACATCGGGATGCTTTCGCATGATGCCTGACACGACAGGCACTGCAACACTGCCCAGCCCGACACATCAGACTGGTTTATATCTAAGGTAAGTTTTTGAACTGTTAATACAAGCAACCCCAAACTCCATGAGGTGGTAACAGAGACGCTCCGCTGCTGATCGAGATGTGCTGGTACGCATCAGCAGTGGGGGAGTCATCTGCTGCAGGAGCTGGACCAGGCCCTCAGCCTGGAAGAAACTCCTCCGTCCCTGCCAACCACCATGCGCCAAAGCGTGCCAGCGTGCCCTGTCTCGCAGCAGGGCTCATCGGTGCCAGTCCAGCCTTTTCACAAGGCAGCACCCCAGCTCTGGGCTGGAGGCAGCTCGGGACCCTCTGCTCAGTGCCAGGGTGAGATAAGGACTCAATCATCTGTACCCGCCTTCATCAACCACCTTCACGCGCGGTGGTTTCCAGGCAGATCCAGTAAGCGCAGAACAGATGTTCACCTTAGCCGACGGCATTAACGCGGCTTTTGCTGCTCTTGCACAAGCCTTGCCCCCTCCCTCTCTCCCCAGCATGGAGAGAAGCAGTCTCTCCTTGCAGCTCCTGCCCTCTGTGTTCATCCTCCTGTATCCCTCCAGCTCAACACGCTTCTGTCTGTAAGCGTCAGCAAAAACCACAGGTTTTGGGCCTTTTGCCTTTACATATCTCATCTATGCCTCCATTTTTCTCTCCCTCCTATTACTGCTTTTACGAGTACCTGTTTCAGGATTTTCCTCAGCCTGATCTCCGTCCCCAGGGGTGGCGGGTGCTGCCAGCTCCTGCAAATTGTCAGAGCCCCAGGAAAGCCACCGCAGCCATCAAAATCTGCACTGGCTAATGATCAAAAATGCACCGCCACAGGTTTGCATTGCTCTCGAGAATCTGAGGATACTTTACGCAAAATAAATTTCTATTGTATGTACATTTCTTTTTCCTCCCAGTCTATCATGAGCTCACAACAGAAAATACACTTAAGAGCAGATTCAGCTTCACTCTAAAAAGCTGTCCCTGAACTAACCAAGACAAAGGTATAAGAAAAAAAAATGTTTTAATGTCAAATCTATTGTTCCAAAGGCAGCAGCTTTCAATTAGTTATTTGAAAAAATACAAATGTCTAACACATGTATTACCATGTATTGAAAGACACTAATATGCAGTATTTCAAAGTAATAAGCTCTATTGTTTTACTTCTTACAGAATTCATTTTAACCCTTTGATCAATTCATTTAACTTTAATCACCACTAAGAGAAAACAAATCTTATTCGATGAGCTTTAAAATTGTATCACTGAGAAAACATGGGAATATCATGTAAAACATTCTCCCCGGATATTCTAGTAGAAGGATGGTTATTCTCTTTGCAGTCCCAGTCTGCCAGTTAGCTGTGGCCCAGCAAGAAAGAACGAGGAAGTAAGAAAAGAAAAACGAGGCACGTTAGCCAAGAAGTCCTTCACATCTTGATTCAGTTGAATTAAACATTGCCTTTTCCTTCTTGCTATCATCAGGAAAAAGGCTTGTAATGTTAGGTTTGCCTGTTCAAAGGAAGAGAGTTTTCTTTCTCCTTCATTTTAGAAATACGAGAAATGCCAGTTTCTGTATAAATAATTTGTCTTGAATCCTGGTTAAGCAGACAGCACTGTTACAAACCACAGCAGCTTTCCATGAAACTTTGGAAAGACAGAGAGGGAGGGAGGGCTGGCTCTTCGTTGGAAAGCAGAGATGATTTTGACTAATGAAGTCCTGTATTAGTTGTAGAATAAATCCATGTTACTAATATAGAAATACATAATACAGAGAAGCATTTCTCACACAGCTAGAGACAACCAAAACCAACAAGGCTGCACGGGTATAGACGTGGGGAGAACGAGCATCTCCTCCAGCCTCAAATACATCGAAGCAGAGCCCATGATGAACCATTAAAATCAAAAATAAAAAATTTGTTGCAAGCATTCATAAGCACCCCCTTGGGGGAAAAAAGGGGCAAAGGCTGTAAGGGGAGCACCCAAATACCTGTTCTCTCTCATTTTTATCAACCTTTTTGTAATCCAGCTGCCCCCTCACTTCCACAGCTCCCAGTATCACTTTAAGGAGCAAAGCAGGTCTCAGCACGAAGACAGCCATGGAGCCCACAACTTGTGCACAACTTCTAATGCTTTCCTCTCTGCGTGAGTAATGGTCAGGCTAATCCCACACTGCAGCTATTGCTAGGACAGTGAATCTCATCAGGAGTCTTACCGTTATCAGGGGCCTCGGTCCTCTTCTCCCTTGCACGCTGCAAAGGGCCCCAAAGCCCTCTCCAGTCACTGCATGTGGAGCAGGAGGTGAAGATCAGGAGACCCAACTAACTCTGTACACAAACACTGCCTTGGTGGGTTTTAACTTCCACGGGTCTCTGATCACAAGTTTCTACTTCAAATTGTGCTCTGCCCTTGGACCCACACTGTAAATTAGAGGTGAGGCCAGTCATTTACTGTTCATCTTGTCTAATGCTGCTGGCTATACCACCCTTTTGCCAAGAGCACCTAAAAGTGAACTGTGAACTGCCAGTTCAGGCACATTTTTGACTCAGCTAAGGCTCTAAAGCTTGGAAACTGCAATCCCACAGCTGGCGAGAGCCAAGGAGAGTCAGCTGTATTGTGCCAACCCTTGAGCGGCACTCCTGTCCTTAGCAGGAGAGTTTAAAATGAGCGTACATAGGCCAGGCTCTTGGCTTGTCTTTTTATTGGGTCCTGTGGCTCTGGTCCTGTTTGTGGAGCTCAGACCTTCCCACTGAAGAGCTCTGACCTTGCTAGAGAGGTGGTGGCACAGACTGGGGCCTGCTCCCGAGAGCAGACCTGAAAGCACCCAGCCCCTCTCCACCCCATCCCAGGCGACACTCAAATCTAGTCCAAAATGCAGGCTCAAACTTGCATTCATGCAACAATGCCATTTAGGCCAGATATAATATATATGGAAAGTGTAATTATCTTTAGGGACATGATTAAAACAAATCTACCACTACCTTGCCATTTTTCGCTTGTGGATTATGCCAGAAATCGGCACAGATACAAAATACCTGGAGCATCCAATATTTCTCAAAGGGGATTGGCGTCCTGGGTACTTTCTTGTACTAAGCCGTTACTGAACTGACGCCAGCGGTTCTCCTCAAGGCCCCGGAGCACAGTTACGTCAGTAACCACAGGAGCGACCCTGACAGGACAGGGTCACCACAGCGTCTGGGCATGAACACAGATCACTTCACAAGAAGGATGTCCCAAAAGCTGCAGATTTCCAAAGCAGTTCTGCTTTGTTCTCACTAGAGCTGACACAGGATCTTTTGTCATTCCATCTCCTTTGGATATGAAAGGACACAGCTACTCCACCTCCCGCACAGTAATACAGTTATAAGACTGGTTATAGGCTCAACGTTATTTCAACCCAGCAGATGCTGTATTAATTACATGATAATGACTAATTAGAAACTGTATTAATTGCCAAGCAAAGCAACTACACAATAAACAGCAAGAAAAATCGTAGCAAGACTCGGATAAATCCCGTTACCTGAGAACTAGGAACAAGGGCTTTCCACCAGTGTCCGCCTTTCACAAGGTCTACATCACTCAAGGGCATCGACACTTTCCCAATAACACAATGGCGTGAGAATTTGTCAAAATCCACTACGGTTAAAAGCAGAGTTCTTCTTTGGGCTTCTAAAAACGGGATTTCAAATGTGTACCTCTCCTCAAACACCGGGTTCTGGGTTTTGCGTTTCACTCCCGTCTGCTTGGAGTTCTTCTGATCCGGAAGGAGGCAGATCTTCACGTAGGGGTTAGAATGAGCCATATCTTGCCTTGAACCATCGTAAGAGATGGGAGGAGGCAAATCTTTAGCCTCAATGACTCGTACTATTAGGTAATTATGCAACAGATCATACTGAGTGCTAAAATGCAGCATGCCCAGCTGATACTTCGATAAGATTTCCTCATCCGTCAAGGAGTCCATATCATCGCTGTTCGAGTCAAGAGAGTACAGTCTGGGTTCAAATTTTCTAAAATAGTCATCTGGGGTATAGGTTTTTCGCAGGATAGTTGGCTGCACTATTTCTTTTTTAGCTCCTATAATTCCAAACTCAATAGGTTTGATGTCAATTAGCGGAGAGCTTGGCCTCCTTGACTCTAAACCTAAATGAGAGAAGGTACAAACAGGACTGTTAGACACTGCAAACAATAACTAATAGCATCCTTAGTTATGCCAAAGGGCAAACTCGGCTACGCTTTTGCCCCCGTAGCCGTTTCCACGTGCAATCACCACACATGCACTTCAGCACGAAAAGCAGGGCTGCCCCCTTTCCCAGGGCTCCTCACAGTAGGATCGGACTTTAACCGACGTGCCTCCAACGTCACTTGACTCCCTATCCAAAAGATGAAAGAGCAGGCAAAACAGTGCTTTTTTTTTTCCCCCATCAAAATTACATTAATGTTGGAAGGACGGCCTTACTTGAAATGCGCCTCGTGAGGCTGTAAGTGGACCGTGATGCATCTGAGGACGACCGCCGCCTGTCAGGGGAAGCACCCTGGAGAGCGGGAGGCAACTCGCTGATCGTATTATCAGAGTCTCCATCCTTGTCCTCATTCTGGCTGCTTATCCTGTTATGACGAGAGACCTTTGGGTGATTCAGTCCAGTAAAAAGACTCTATACAGAATAAAAATGTATTCTGATATTCTGGGTCTCATCTGGGATGCATGTTGCGGAGGTGCAAGGTATCTGCTTGAAATCTGTTTGGCAGGGAAGAGAACGAGCAACCGACTTCAGACCTCAGCAAAAACAAGATGCTCTATCCATCTGCCTGTCTCTCAAACAGAGGCGAATCACTATCAGAGCGCGACACGGGCCACGGAGGCATGCGTGACTCAAATCTCAATCAGGCATATTATATTCATCCTTAAGCAAAAAGAATTAGCTTCCTGCTATAAATTCATGGCTATGCTTGGAAGCGCAGCCTTCATTAGGAATGAACCAGGTGGAAAAGCACCGTGCTCAGCCGTCGCACCCTACCGCGCACATCTCTCGCGGTAAAATACTGCTTTGGAAATATACCACTAAGGTTTCAAAGCTTGATCCTATAAATATGATTCATTAACAGCTCTTTCTAGATATACCTTTTTAAAGGACTCCTGGCTGCTTTTTATGCATCTCTATAAACCAGGAGAGACTCTCCAAGAGTAATTCTCCTGCCTAGGGCTCTTCGCTGGGGTGGGGGCGAGGGGAGGAGGGAAGCTGATAGGATCCAAATAACAAAGTGAGCTTGAGCAAGAGCTGTAACATCTCTGAGAAGACTCAGGATCCACCAAAGAACAGCACACCATGATCATAAAAAAAGTTCACGTACAATTCCCATCGCAATTTAGTTTTCATAACTAAATGACACAACAATTCAGTTTAAAAACCTGGCTTCTCACAACTGCAGCAGCGCAAAAAAACAGGCAGGACCCCTCAGCTTGGCCTGAAAGAAGAGCAAGGGCAGAAGTAACAGAAGATAAAGAGACCGACTGCACCTTCGCTGGCGAGCGGCTGGTAGAAATCTGCTAGTGCAAATGAAATCAAACAACATGATGTGACACCTACTGCATCAAGTTAAAATAAGCCTTTTGGTTAATCCATGAGACACACTAGCCAGAAAAATAGCAGCAGATCACAAGGAAAGCCTCAGCACAAAATGAGCAAAGCAAACAGGAATATTGTTTTGAGTTTTGCTCCTGATTCACTCTTTCTGTGCTCATGGGTAGGTTGGATATAAACGAAATATGTTGAATCATTTCCTTTACTAATCAACAACTGAACTAGAGCAACAAAAATATTCTGCAAAAAGCAGCAAACTGACAGAAAAGGCCCTCCACTATCAAACAGACTTAAACTTTAATTTCTTATCCAAATCTACCCTGCTATCCCTGAAGTTCATATCAGGATCCAGAGTACATGCAAATCTCACCAACCCTGAGTCACACAACTCATTCAGATTAAAAAAAAAATAATATATATCTATATCTATATATATAAAAATATCAAAACAAAAACATATATTAAAAAAGGTCATACAGTATTTGAGTAACTCTGCAGCCCATTAAAGGTAGTTCAAATCAGGCAGTTTGACATAAAATCAGTACTGGGAACACAGATATCTTTTTCATCCCAAAATGCAGGTCTACACAATCATACGTAGCATTTGGATGTACTGGTGTTCGAGAAGCAAATGCACAAACTGAGGAGAAGGCAGGGTGAAAAGCAAATCAGGAAGAAAGGCATTAAGGATGTTCTACAATGGGTAAACGTAATAGTGAGTTAATAACATACAGATGACCTTCAGTAAGGAAATTGCTACTGAGCCACAATAATTTTTCCTCAAATAAACTTTGGCTCTGTTTAAAGTAGCTCTGTTTCTGTTTAATCAAAACCTTTGGGAAGAGAAGTTGAGTTCAGATTTCAGTTTAATCTCACAGAACATGTACCATTTATCTTTGACTTTTTCATGTAGAATATTTCATAATGTGCAGGGTCAACGCACACCCTAGCTCCCAGCTGATTTCTGCAGAGACTAGGATATAAGCAGCACTCTCAAAATCACAGCAAGCAGTTGCCATGCATTCAGGTCAACACAATTAGATTCACTTTAGCAAGAAAATCTTTTTCTAAGTTGCCACTGGAGGCTACCGTAAAAAATTCAGAGTGAGAAAAATTAACAGTCTCCCAAGAGGAGGGGCTTAAACTTGCAGCTTTAAAGCCCCCTCCTGAATTTCCAGGACATCACGTGTCTCAGAGTTGCCAGAGGCAGAACCTACATGCAAAAAATAACGGCTGGATTGTTAGACATAGGCATTCAGGTGTTCACTAGTAGGCAAATGAAGACCATGAAATCAGTTTTTCACTGGAGAGAGGGAGGGGAAGTAAGGAAGCAGAGAACTGCACTCCAAATCACATCAGTTAGTGTCCCGGGTGCACAAAGAAACGGCAAGACTGAAAGATCTTAGTTGAAAAGCTAGCTCTATTTTTAAAACACTTTCAGGCTGTGAGCAGGGAATACAATAAATTGATTTGTTCCCAAATTCAGTGCACGTATCTAAATGCAGAACATGGTGTTGTCAAATTCATCTTCTGTTTTAGGGGTTTCCACTGTATTTAAAAGCCTTCTTTGCCATAAAAAAAAAAAAGAAAAGAAAAGAAGAGAAAAGGAAAAGAAAAAAAATCAATTAGCATAAACAGACCTGTGAGCACTTTAGAAACATACCCATTAAATAACTTACCTTGAGACCAATTCCCAACCTCTACTCTGCTCACGCATCTAGCTCCAAATAGTCTGCTTCCTGCCTCCAAAAGCTCTTAAGTGAATTTAAAAGTGTAAAAATAACATCATGAAAATAGCAATCTTCTTCACCTTCTGAATTCTGCATCGACAGAGGCTGCCTGCAATCATTTCCACCTTAAACGTGCACAAGCAGTCCGGCCCTCCTATTGATCAGCGAGCAAAAGGCTCCATTTCTGTCCCCTGCCTTTTTCCTCTTCATCTTCCAGGTTCTTGTTCTTCTACAGGTTCATTTTCTCTCTTTTTCCCCTCAATCACATCCCCTCAGTTGCTTTTCCTCTTCCTACCTCTTCTGTTCTCCTTGCCCTCCTCATTCTACTCATTTCTTACCATTTTTCCGATAAAGTTGCCCTGGAAACATAAAACACTGCCACCTTCCCTGACACTGCCGTGGGTCAAGTCCTGCTAAAGAAACAGGAGTCAGCGCTCATTTTAAGCGAGTGAAGGCTGATCTCCACTTCCACAACGAGATGGGTTAGCAGACGTGTAAATCCTGTGATCTCCAAGCACAAGTGCCGGAGGAGACGGTGACATCCACGGCCGCCACTCCAAGCACAGCTGTGCTTCCCCCGTGTCTCTTTGGTTCCTGCCTTGGGCATCGCCTCCAGGCACCCAGCATACCGTAGGGCCCCAACTGCACCGGGTCCCCCGAAGCTGGATGGGAAAGATGGAGAGGTGGCCAAGGCACAGCTCTGCACATGAACAAGGCCGGGGGCACTGGGTGCCCTAGCCAGGCATGGGTTAAGGGCAGTGAGGAACAGGATGCGGTCAAAGAACTGGACTTTTTTCAGAGCATGGTGTTTTCTGCTTATGGTCCTTCCGAGGAATTAACTGTAGAGGCTTTTGGAGGAAGCAGGACTGTGGGAAAACAATAGAGGCTGGAGAGAGCGTTTCATGAGTCCAAAGGTCTCCATAGTCCCTGCCTGTGGCAAAGTCCAGCTCATCTCCAAAGCCACCACCTGGCTAAGTTTTAAGGCCACAAGAGGAACAAAGAGCTGAGCCCGCTTCAATGCTTGCAACGCCCCTTAAGCCACACAAAAGGATCAAGCAGTCAAAAGCTATGCAAAAAAGGTCCCATCACCCTACACACCCAAATGCACATTATGTCCCCTCTGCTCCTGAACACACATGGGAAACACTAAAGCATCCTTTCATAACTAGCCTAGCTACTTATTCCCAAGTACGTAATCGTTTCTGCAGCAATCCTTCCATGTCCGATACTGCTACCTCATCACTGTGCTTTCTTGTGTGCAATGCTTTCCTAGTTAGCATCGATTTTGTTTCCATTTCCCATTAATTGCAGGTGAATCCTTTTCTGGGCATAGATCAGACTCTTAAAAACACTGCTCCACATTTAAAAACCACTCTAACATCTCCAACATCTCTATTCTTTATTGCTTCAGTATTAATTTCCACACTATTCTATAATGATACAAAAGAGCACGTGGACAAGACTGAGTTAAACATGAGACAATTTATTTCACGTAGCACCAACACATGGACCTTCCCAACCTGACACAGACTAAAATAAGTACTCAAAGGAGGAGACAAAATTAACCGAGTGCCTTTACTGTCTGGGTACCACCATCTCAGCATCCTACAAAGCACTGAGAGAGCATCTCCCAGGCCATGGCTTCTGAGCACACCAGGAGTTCAGGCATCTCCATCAGCTGGCCTGCAGCAGGACAGCACAGCCAGCTGACAGACCAGCCACTGAAGAACAGGAGACCTCTGCTCTCTTCCTGCCTTCACTAATGAGGAAATGAGGAATTCCTTCCTAAATGAGGAAGAGTAAGATAGGGAAGATGCCACAGACTTTCTTTGTAACATGTTTGCAAAAACACTAATCAAAGCTCCAGATAAAACCTGTGTCTTGCTGCTGCTGCTGCTGTTTAATGATTCAAGAGGAAATCTTAGACAGTATGAAGATGATTCAGGAGATCAAGTCTTGCTAAATTAAACTTTTGATGAATTTTCTCCTTCAGTACACATAAGCCCTTCACTTTGCTGAATTATAATCATCTGAATGCCAGGACAAGTTTTTCCATGCTTAAAAGTTTCCAGAACAACCTTGTCAATATTGCAGCTAAGTCAAAAAACTCCAAATAGATGGTCCATTTGAAAAGGAAATAGGATTTAACATGGAAAGTCTCATCTTTAGCGTAGGGTGCACAGCTAAACCAATGACCAGCTTGCTATATCAGCTGACAAAGCAACTCCTGTGCCACCTGCCAGGAGAGTGCTTTACAGAGATTCCCATCACTGTCTGAGTTAAGAGGGCTGCTGTTTATACACCCTGCCCTTGAGCCGCCTGTTCCCACCCTCGGCAGGAGAGTCCTCCTCCAATTCTGAGCGTCCTACCACCAATTCACAGCGATACTCCCATCACAGCCTTACTCTTCAGGCACAGCTATAAAATCGCGCAGCTAAACTTACAGCCAGGCGGGAGTCTGAGCAGGAAAAGGTCCCAGGATTTCAACTTCATCTTCACTTGTTTGACAACAGCTACAGTCGAAACACTTCTGACAACAATTTCTACAAGTCCATCGGCACAGCAAGAGATCCGAGATCCTAGCGAGCAGACCCTGAAGCCGTTGGAAACCAAAGCACAAGATTACAACCCATCGATAGCTAGCGAGAAATAACATTCAGCTGTATTTACGTTTGTTTTGCTGTGAGAGAACATTAAGAACTATATTTATTCCATCTTTATCAACAGACAAGCGCTCTGCAGTTACTAGCCCAACTTCACTGATGCTGTAACAAAACAGGAAAATAAGCATTCACTGCAGGTATCTTCCCCCTAGCAGCAATGTGTTATTATGTATGTTGGCAAGAGGGTGATTTACAAAAGATCATGGTGTAGTACTATGCTAGGGTGGAAACATGCTTATTCTTTCACACACATCAGCAAACTAACAGATCAGCAAATGCAGGACAGAAGGAATTAAAAACAGAAGGTAAACAAAAGCTCCAATTTAATTCTACAAGGTCCTATGTAATTTGAAAACCTCAACACAGCAACAGGAACACATTTCACCCCTGTAGATACGTCAGCATGCAATATTTGTGCGATCCACACATGTACAGCATCACAGCCCTAAACATTTGTCACTAAAATGGATGAGCAAAGGCATAATATCCAGCTGCCTGCCCTCCGCTATCATGATTAATTAAATGAAGAACCTTAAATGATTTTTTAAAGTAGTTACTTGAGCCAGAAAAGTATTTTCATTTCCTAGGTTTCTGTGGTGGCACTACTACTATTACCCGTAACAGGGCTCCTCTGTTTTTACACACGTGTGTGTGAGTGGACCCACACGTATTCCCATCCAGACTATGGCACAACAGGTTGCTGCGTTGTTTCCATAATATCCCATGGGAAAGGCACTCCTATGTATGAAGGAGTTATATTTTTCTTTGCTACTGCTTGTTCTGAGGCTTAGACCAGCTGGGAGCATTTCTTTTTACTCCAATAAAACACATAGTCTTCCCATGAAAAAAATTTTTTGGGGGGGGGGGGGGGGGAAATCACCAACCCCAGAACATGGTGCACTGCTTGTATCTAGGACCTGAGTAAAGAGTCAGAAAACACCAGATGATCCCCTCAGGATGGAGCGCGGAGACCGAGCAGAGCGTGAATCATCAGATGAACTCACCTCATTTATTGGTTCCAACTGTCCTTTTAGACATCCAAGATGAAGCAAAGGGGAACAAAATGAAAAAGGCAAAAAACAGGTTAGCAGGGCTCAAATAACATTGAATTTTCTGCCATGGCATGCCCCAGCCTGGGACAAGCTTTAATTTCTGGCAAGATAATGCCTTTTTATACATTAGAGAAAGAAAGGAGAGCTCTCCTAAACGGGCGCCAGCTGCTTCCTTCTCCAGCCCTTTCCCTCTAAGCTCTTTCTGCTCCTCCTTCCAGCGGGGAAATGAAATTCCCAAACCCATCTTGAATTATGAAAATCCCTGGTATAGATCCTGCTTGTGGCCCCTTGCTAATCCCTGTATCACGTGTGACCACTTTTTTTTTTTTCCTTAAACTAACCCGTCTCCGATTGCAGCAACTATTTGCTGCTGACAGCGAACCACATCCCTTCCAGTTACACTTCACAGCAGAAAGTGCTTTCATCCAGCTTCTGCCCACAAAAACATAGTTTCAACACCAAATCTGTAAAAGCCACATTTCCAGGAACAGGCACAAATTTAGAATATTCTCTATTTTGTACACATCACTTGAGGTAGCTGGGCATCTTCAAACTCAGATAAAAAAAAAAAAAAGTACTCCGAAGTTACGCGCTCAAAACTTGAGTCACACACTCCAGTTTGAAAACTTGCATTGCAGCCACTTCCCCAAAGTCAGAGAAAACCTATAGCAAAAGAAGGAATTATCATACGACAGCGCTTTAACCACAAAGCCATCCTTGGAACATTCTATTTGCACTACTTCTTTTACAACTGCAGGTTTAGTAGCATTCTGGACATCTGCTGAAATGTCTTTCCTAGCTCCTTCTCTTGCTGTTGTCCAAGAGTTTTCTAGTTGCCCTAGCTGTCCTCCCATAAAGGGGAATCCTAAAAATATAGAGAAAAACACCCCTCACATGCCTCCGCATGTAAAAAGCTTCTAAAGTTTCTAACTTCATGCTCATACTATGGACAACACCAATCTGTTATGAAGAAGCTAGGATGTAGAATTTATTTCTAAGAATATTGCCATGGACAATATTTCAGCCCAAAACCTTCCTTTTTAACTCCTCAGAAATCAGGGCTTGCTGAAAAGGTCATCACTTGTTGGAAACCAAAATGAAGAAGGGACTGCAAATGCTGTGGTGCAATGTGACAAGACAGTGATGAGATACCCGTGGACCAACTGTTTAAGAAAATCCTGAATGGTTTAACGGGCTTTATCATTCCTTGTTCATGTAAAGTTGCAGCCAAAGCGACAGTGGTTTAGCAAAGCTGCAACAAGAATATTTAGACTGCTCTACAATGAATCCGCTGGATGCGTGCCACAGCCAAATGCCACGGCACGTGCTGGCAGAACGAAGGAAAGCGGCATTTCCTGGTGGCCTGCAGGGACCTCAGCAGGCTTCTGGCAAACAACCGCGCTGGTTATGGTCAGCAGTGATTTATGTGAAACGGCTCGTACGCGCCATCGGGCCCAGGAGCGCAGGCAGCGGTACCACACACACCGTTACAAAGCGACCGCGCGACCACCCAGACACCTCGACTGATGACTGAAACGACAAGAACTAAACATTATAGCGCAGAAGAGGCAGGCGAGTACGCGGTGCCACACGACACACTGACGCACGGACCTGTGAAACTAAAGCAAACACGCACAGTCGCGAGCATCCGCGCCGCGCGGGGCAGAGGGTGAGGTCAGGCAGACGCCGGAGGGTCACGGGGATGCAGCAGCCCACAGGCGCCGGGGGTCCCGGCAGCGGGGATGCAATGACGCGCCAGACGCCGGAGGGTCACGGGGATGCAGCAGCCCACAGGCGCCGGGGGTCCCGGCAGCGGGGATGCAATGACGCGCCAGACGCCGGAGGGTCACGGGGATGCAGCAGCCCACAGGCGCCGGGGGTCCCGGCAGCGGGGATGCAATGACGCGCCAGACGCCGGAGGGTCACGGGGATGCAGCAGCCC